TTAAGGGGGTCTGAATACTTTCCGTCCCCACTGTATATATATATATATATATATATTTTTTTTTTTCTTTTTAAATAAAAGTAATCATCATTTCAACCAAAGCCATTGTTGCCAAGTAGATCAACAAGATCTGTGTTAACAAAATTGGTAATTTGAAACATTTGAAAATCAAAACATTTGTAAATTAAAGAAAACGGCATCTTTTGAAAGATTACTATGGATTAAATGTAAATTTATCTGCATCTTAAACACAAAAAAATTATAAAATACTTTTATACATGCATATATGTTTATACTTGTATAGCAGTTTGCACTCAGAATGATTCAGTAAAATTTATGGTAAAAAAAACTTTGCAGAACTTTGGCGTAAAAAATATGGTAGCAACATTAAGTTTTACAGACTGAACTTAAATGTATAGTAAAAAAAAAAGTATATTTCAAAAACTGAAATAATGTTAATATACCAAATTACTCACAATTTATAAGCGCTGCTCAGCATCTGTGGCAGGCTGTCGATTTGATCTGGACCTCAGTAAAAACTAGACCTGAGAATCGAAAACCGGTTCTGATTCAGAATGGTTCCACCATTTCAGAACCAGATGATTTTCCTGAATTCCTAAACGAAGCATTAAAAGAATCAAAGCAGAAGTCAGTGCGTCCTCCTAACATGTTGACAAAAACTTGACAACTGTTCTGTGATAACTTGCATTTAATCAAGAATCATCCTAATATATAAAGGTTTGTGGTCATGGTTTCTCTCTTTAGCCGTGTGCCTTTCCTTTCTCGCCACACGGTTGAGAATTATTGCAGAATCTCGTTAGCATGAGCGTGCAGTGACATCCCAATCTCCATGTGACGTGATCAGTGATCATCAGCGGAGTGATCTGGGGATTGAGACGATAGAGTTGTTGTGAAGCTGATTCACTTGTCATGTTTTACGTTTCCTTCCAGAATATGAGAAATAAAGGAATGTCACTCATTTTCATAGCGGTTCATGCTCATATAAATATTATTTATTACTAAAACATTAGCCAAAAATCCATTTATCACTGATTCATTTTAGTTCGCCATGTCGTGAACAATTTCCAAAAACGTCACCAAGTTGAGGTTTACACTTTATCGTCCGGATCAATGAATGAATATTTGACCATTTTGAGATTATTAGCTAAATTATTAACTAAACACACTCTTGTTTGATGAACAGAAAGTTTGGCTTTTGACACGTTACAGACAGATCTGCCAGTGCTCCATTTCTTTTTCATTTTATGTCAAATTTAAAATTTTAAGTGAATATTATGTGAATTTTCTGTAAAATCTGATTTAATTTGACAAATTGTATTTTATTTGTGTTATATCCGCTCCCTGCATACTATCAGCATCGGTGTTAACCATTGAAAATCCAACATTTAGATTAATTTGCTTTGTATTTTATGATATATTGCCAAGATATACTTTCAAACGTATCAAGTAAATAAAGACTTTTCCAGAAATTGCTACTTTTACTTTAAATGCACATATTTGGTCTTATTGTTTACAGTTAATCAGCGAAAATGCAATGAAATTACTTTCCTTTTCTAACATCGTAAAGCCATTTGTGAGATGTGATGCCCAATTTTCAAATCAATTCCTGTAAAATGAAGATAACTTTTTTCTCATCTCCACCATCCTGTTTGAGTCAGTAAGGAATCACATTACGGAAGTAAAATGGGCTGTGAATGCTTAACTATATATGTATTTTTTTACTGCTCAGATGAAGAATGCTGACTTTAATCTGGATCCCTACATTCAAGAGTTTGGAATCAAGGTGAAGGACGACATGGCCGAGGTGACGGGGAGAGTCCTTCCCGCTCCCATCCTGCAGTACGGCGGTCGGGTGAGATCTGCTTTACTGTATCTGAAGCTCAAACGGGTCCTGTTCTACCTCCTGTTCTTGTTGTTCAAACAGTAGATCATAACGCTTGCAACGCTACGGTTATGGGTTCGATTCCCGGGGAATGCATGAACAAGGTTTAGAATATATATATATATATATATATATATATATATTTTAATGTTTTAAAACAGCGGTGTCAAACTCAGTTCCTGGAGGGCCGGAGCCCTGTAGAATTTTGTTCCAGCTCTGCTCCAACACACAAACCATTTAGTTCTCAAATAAGCCTGAAGGACTTGATTAGTTGGATCAGGTGTGTTTAATTAGGGTTGAATCTAAACTCTGCAGGGCTCCGGCCCTCCAGGAATTGAGTTTGACACCCCTGCTTTAAGGGTGCTTTCACACTTGGTTCGCTTGCCTCGTCCGAACCCGAGTTCGATTGCTCCCCCCTCCCCCTGCCCCTGCTGGACTGCGTTCATATTATTTTATTTGGGTCCGAACCGCGGTTCGTTTGCATCATCAAGCCAGCAGCTGTTTACCCCGTTGCTCAGTAATGATGGCGCAGGAGAAGGCGGCAAATGCATAACATTGCTCTCTGCACTTTTATATATTTACGTTTTTGAACCGTTCGTTTTGTTTACAAAGCTTCGGTACATAACGGCACTTACGTCTGTCTTACGAATGTACTGCAAATGCTCTAAAGAACGCTGAAAGCGAACAGAAATGAGATATATAGCTCTCTGTTTGCAGCGCGTCAGTCACACTCATCAGGAAAGTGAGTGAAACACACACACAAACACACACTTTTATCAAATAATACATCATTAATAGCGGTTCACTTTGGTACGATTGCATTCACATCAGCAGCGAACCATACCGGAGTCACTTGAACCGTACCCCAGACCACCCTTTTTCTGCGGACTAGGGTACGGTTCGCGGGTGCGCACCCGAGTTCAGAAGATGGCGTTCACATCATCCACACGAACCGAACTCTGACGTCAATCGAACCCGGGTGCGCACCAAATGTGCTAGTGTGAACGCACCCTAAAAGAAGTCTCTTATGCTCACTAAGGCTGCATTTATTCAATCAAAATTACAGTAAAATTGTGAAATATTATTACAATTCAAAATATTCTATTGCAAAATATTTATTATAAAATGTAATTTATTTCTGTGATAAAAGCTGAATTTTCAGCATCATTACAACATCTATACATCAAAGAATCCAGAAGAAAAGTATCACAGTTTTTTTCACAAAAATATGAAGCAGCACGACTGTTTTCAACATTGATAATAATCAGAAATGTTTCTCGAGCAGCAAATCAGCATATTAGAATGATTTCTGAAGATCATGTGACACTGAAGACTGGAGTAATGATGCTGAAAATACAGCTGCGCATCACAGGAATAAATTACATTTTACAATATATTCACATATAAAACCGCTATTTCACATTGAAATATTATTTCATAATATTACCGTTTTTACTGTATTTTTGATCAAATAAATGCAGCCTTGGTGAGCAGAAGAGACTTGTTTCAAAAACATTACAAAATCGTACTTATTCCAAAACATTAGCTGGTAGTGTACATCACTTTAGATAAAAGCATAAAATGCATAAATGTTGACGTGCAGCTTTGACACATCCAGCGCCGCTTCATCATCACCTCCTCCAGTGTGAGATTTCTAAATTCTCTCTCGTTCTGCCGGTGAACAGAATCGTGCCATTGCGACTCCCAACCAGGGTGTGTGGGATATGAGGGGAAAGCAGTTCTACAACGGCATTGAGATCAAAGTCTGGGCCATCGCTTGCTTCGCCCCGCAGAAACAGTGTCGGGAAGAGGTGCTCAAGTAAGTAAGAACACGTATAGAACAGAATAAAACCGGTTTCTGTACCTTCTCTGCAGGTTTTCTCCAGACACTCACGTCTGTTTTGCATCATTTGCATTTTTCACTGATGCTCACATGCATTGCTCTGATGTTTTTACTTTGTTTACATTCAAAGCTACTGTTCTTATTCCTTGTTATTGTTTTGTATATTTTTGTCATTTTTAGCATTCTGGTTGGTTGTTAGGTGATAGATGAAAAAAGCCATCCTAAAAGTCGCATTTGCATTGTCTGCCAATTTTTTCCCCCATATATCGGCGCTTGTTGCACGTGTGTAAATGGCAAAAACACTTGTTTAGTGTTCGATTTTCTTTTTATTACTTTATTTTTTTATAGTATTTATTTTACAGTATTATTGCAATCTATTTCTTATCAGTGTTATTTTAGTGTCATTGAAATACTATTATAGTTTTTATTCATTTTTTGAATAAGTTTTTATGTTTATAATTATAAGCTTTAATTTGTATAGTTTTTATTAAGTTTTCTTTGTTTCAGTTTTAGTACATAAAAGTAAAATGAGAAATGTTCCCTTGGCAACTAGCTGAAGTAAAATGTTTTTTTTAAATATATAATTTACTTTCAGTTAACATTTATTTTAAAAATGCTTTTTTATGGTTTTAGTTTCAGTTTTAGTAAACTATAATAACCGTTTCTTATTTTTATTTTTATTTCACAATATGACCATAATCTCAATATTGTAGTCAATAATCATAATGAAATCATGGCAATTATTATTATTATGTTGTAATATTGAATTGGTCAAAAATGGTTACTGAAAGAATTTCAAGTTGGTTCTTGTAGAAAGAATGTACCCACATTTTTTTCTCAAATCTTGCAGCCCTAAAAGGATTTCACACTCAAAAACAAAACAAACAAATTAATTCAAATGCTGTTCTATTGAACTTTCTATTCAAAGTAACCTAAAACGATATCAAAAATATTTTAAAAATATACAAAATATTAAGCATCACAACTGTTTTTAACATTGGTAATAATAAGAAATGTTTCTTGATCATAAAACCGCTATGAATACTTTGGTGTTAATGTGATGATCTCTTCCTCAGGAACTTCACCGACCAGCTGCGCAAGATCTCAAAGGACGCTGGGATGCCGATCCAGGGTCAGCCGTGTTTCTGTAAGTACGCACAGGGAGCCGACAGCGTGGAGCCCATGTTCAGACACCTGAAGAACACCTACTCTGGACTGCAGCTCATCATCGTCATCCTGCCCGGGAAAACACCCGTCTACGGTAAGAACGGCGCACACAGAGCCAGAGCCACCCTCCTGCCAAACGCCCTCAGACTAATGAACACACGTTTGATCTGTGCAGCGGAGGTGAAGCGTGTGGGAGACACTCTTCTAGGAATGGCCACTCAGTGTGTTCAGGTGAAGAATGTGGTGAAGACCTCCCCTCAGACGCTCTCCAACCTCTGCCTCAAAATCAACGTCAAACTCGGCGGCATCAACAACATCCTGGTGCCGCATCAACGGTGAGAGTGTGACTGAAGTCCCTCTGGATGTGTTTAGATTTAGCTTGAGCATTAAAGGGAGCGTTCACCCTAAAATGAAAATTAGCCCATGATTTACTCACCCTCAAGCCATCCTAGGTGTATATGACTTTCTTCTTTCAGAGGAATCCAATCGGAGTTATATTTAAAAATGTCCTGGCTCTTCCAAGCTTTATAATGGCAGTGAATGGGTGTTATTTTTCAATAGTTCAATAGAAGTCCAATAAAGCGCATCCATCCATCCATCATAAAAAGTGCTCCACGCGGCTCCGTGGGGTTAATAAAGGCCTCCTGTAGCGAATCGATGCATTTTTGTTAGAAAAATACCAATTTTTAAAACTTTATAAACCGTAATCTCTAGCTTCCTCTAACTGTCGTACGCACGTTCACGAGAGAGTGGCGTCCAGCAGATGACGTAGGACATAGCGCAAGTCATATACACCTAGAATTGCTTGAGGGTGAGTAAATCATGGGGCAATTTTCATTTTTGGGTGTACCTTTAACACTTTATTTGAACCTTTTCTTAGGTCGTCAGGAACTTCACCGACCAGCTGCGCAAGATCTCAAAGGACGCTGGGATGCCGATCCAGGGTCAGCCGTGTTTCTGTAAGTACGCACAGGGAGCCGACAGCGTGGAGCCCATGTTCAGACACCTGAAGAACACCTACTCTGGACTGCAGCTCATCATCGTCATCCTGCCCGGGAAAACACCCGTCTACGGTAAGAACGGCGCACACAGAGCAGAGCCGCCCTCCTGCCAAACGCCCTCAGACTAATGAACACACGTTTGATCTGTGCAGCGGAGGTGAAGCGTGTGGGAGACACTCTTCTAGGAATGGCCACTCAGTGTGTTCAGGTGAAGAATGTGGTGAAGACCTCCCCTCAGACGCTCTCCAACCTCTGCCTCAAAATCAACGTCAAACTCGGCGGCATCAACAACATCCTGGTGCCGCATCAACGGTGAGAGTGTGACTGAAGTCCCTCTGGATGTGTTTAGATTTAGCTTGAGCATTAAAGGGAGCGTTCACCCTAAAATGAAAATTAGCCCATGATTTACTCACCCTCAAGCCATCCTAGGTGTATATGACTTTCTTCTTTCAGAGGAATCCAATCGGAGTTATATTTAAAAATGTCCTGGCTCTTCCAAGCTTTATAATGGCAGTGAATGGGTGTTATTTTTCAATAGTTCAATAGAAGTCCAATAAAGCGCATCCATCCATCCATCATAAAAAGTGCTCCACGCGGCTCCGTGGGGTTAATAAAGGCCTCCTGTAGCGAATCGATGCATTTTTGTTAGAAAAATACCAATTTTTAAAACTTTATAAACCGTAATCTCTAGCTTCCTCTAACTGTCGTACGCACGTTCACGAGAGAGTGGCGTCCAGCGGATGACGTAGGACGTAGCGTAAGTCATATACACCTAGGATTGCTTGAGGGAGTAAATCATGGGGCAATTTTCATTTTTGGGTGAACTTTGACAGCACTAATCTATATATATATATATATGCTTTATATCGGCCATCGGCCACCCTGCTCTCTAAGATATCGGCATCGACTGTCAAAAAAACAATATCGGTCGACCATCGGTCGGTATGTGTAGAATTTATGATCAGAATTAATGTTCAAACTTTGGCAAAAAATGTAGGGAAGTATCAGGGAATTTAAAAAAATTGTGATTTAAAGGGCTGGAAAATATAAAATAATTATTTAAATAATAATTAAAAAGTCATTGAATTTTTTTTACATTTTTCTTTTTTTCCCTACTCCAAAGTACTGCACCTTTGCTCTTTGTGGGTGCAAATTCTATAAAATAATTTTTTTAAGTAATTCTCGTAAATTGCAAACGACTAGAAACGTTGCAGACGACTAGGTGTGTCTCCTTGTCGCCCTCTTGCTACAGATATTGTTCATGGAGCTTAAATTGTTATATTTAAATTGCTTAAATATATATACACTGCTTCTTTCAATTTATTATACAAAGTCTAAACAAAACTGCATGATAATTTAGATGATTTACTCAAGCAGCTTTCTTGAATTGACCATTCATCAGATGTATTATAACAAGAACATCTATTATTGATCTAGGACATAATGAAGTTATATAAATCTAACACAACTCTCTGTAAACCCAAGCTTAGCCGAAAGCCACTTAATTTGAGGCTCATACTGAAAGCTGTAATTACCAGCCTGCTGTTCTTTGTGTGGCCGAGTGCCGCCCAGTTTGCTGCCGGCTCCAGAAGTGGCTCGGGACACGGGTGGAGTGTAAGGGAGGACGCACCGGAGGTGGGCAGAACAGGATGGGAGCTTTACAAAGAGAAAATGGCTCGCCGGTGACTCACAGACGCAAAGGAAATGATGTCACACCCGCCCTGCGCATGCAACCTCTTGTACACGTGTACTCTTTCGGCGGTTGCCAAGCAATGGTGACAAAGGCCTGAGTCACGCAGACGGATGGCGAGAACATTGACAGAGGCAGGCTGGTTTCTGTAGGGAACGTGAGGTGAACTGCTGATGATCACTCAGTGTCCTGCAGCTAGGGGGCAGCAGATTTCTCTACCTTCTCTGCAGCTTTTCTCCAGCTGCTCATGTTTGTTCTGCATTATTGGGATTTTTCACTGATGCTCACATGCATTGCTCTGATGTTTTTACTTCGTTTACATTTAAAGCAACTGTGTCACATTCTTCCTTGTGATTGTTTTGTAGGGGGTCGGGTCGGATCTCACGGGTCGGATCTTGTTGCTTGTTTGTGAACTGCAAAACCAACTTTTTTTTTGGTGTCTGATTTGTGCCACTTAATTTTTATTTTTTTTAATGTTTTATTTGTTAGGGACAGATACAATAAACATAGATGAAAATGAAACACCAGTCATCCCATGCATGTACCATAGTGCTTGTAGATGAAGCTAATTTGCAACACTTGTCCCTAGGAGGGCTTTTATAAATTAGAATTACAATAAACAAGTTGTACACAAATTTATAATATAAGTACACTAAACATGATTACAGGTTTGCTGATGTATCAACCAAGATTTCGTGGCTTTTTAAAAATGATTATAATTTACAATAGATTTTGAATAGTCAGGCAATGAATTCCAAAATGTTACACCTTTCACTGAGAGAACCGTCTGAGCAAATGATGTTTTACAATATATAACTTCACAGTTTCCACTAGAAGCCGCTCTAGTGGATCTACTGCTTCCCTGCAATCTCTCGAATTTGATTTATAATTGGCATTTTATTTTTAGTCTGATACATACACACTACCATTCAAAAGTTTGGGGTCAGATGCATTATGCATTAAGTTGTTCAAAAGAGACATTTATAATGTTACAAAAGATTTCTGTTTCAAATAAATGCTGTTCTTTTCAACTTTCTGTTGATCAAAGAATCCTGAAAAATAAAATGTATCTCAGTTTCCACAAAAATACGAAGCAGCACGAAAAAAATCAGAAATGTTTCTCAGGAATCAGCATATTAGAATGATTTGTGACACTGAAGACTGGAGTAATGATGCTGAAAATACAGCTTTGATCACAGAAATAAATTACATTTGAACAGATATTCACATAGAAAACAGTTATTTTACTATGTATTTACAATTTTACTGTATTTTGCTCAAATCATGTTTAAAAGACTTTCTCAAAAACAAAAAAGATCTCACTGACCCCAAACATTTGAATGGTAGCATGTCTGATGAACGTCATATCTCATTCTCCACTTAACGCAGGATTTTTTTTTCATCATTTTTGTTGAACCTCATTTTTAATGCAACATGCTCTTATGATGTAACGTGACTCATCTGTGCAGGTGGTGGGCAGTATGGACGCTCATCCCAGCAGGTACTGCGCTACAGTACGAGTACAGCGACCCAGACAGGAGATCATTGAAGACCTGTCGTACATGGTGCGAGAATTACTCATCCAGTTCTACAAGTCCACCCGCTTCAAACCCACCAGGATCATCTTCTACAGGGACGGCGTACCAGAAGGACAGTTACCGCAAGTAAGTCATTTTATGATTCATTCAGTGGCATCAAAAATACAGTAAAATTCTGAAATATTATTACAGTTTAAAATTACTGTTTTCTATGTGAGTATATTGTAAACTGTAATTTATTTCTGTGATGCGCAGCTGTATTTTCAGCATCATTACTCCAGTCTTCAGTGTCACGTGATCTTCAGAAATCAGTATAATATGCTGATTTGCTGCTCAAGAAACATTTCTGATTATTATCAATGTTGAAAACAGTCGTGCTGCTTCATATTTGTGTGGAAACCATCATACATTTTATTTTCAGGATTCCTTGATGAATAGAAAGTTTAAAAGAGCAGCGTTTTTTTTTTTTTAAATGGAAATCTTTGTAACGTTCTAAATGTCCTTGTGTAGATCCTGCACTATGAGCTGTTGGCCATCAGAGACGCCTGCATCAAGCTGGAGAAAGACTACCAGCCGGGCATCACCTACATAGTAGTGCAAAAGCGCCACCACACCCGCCTTTTCTGCGCTGATAAATCTGAAAGAGTGAGTTTCCAGAAAACAACACTTTAAAGTTAATATTCCTAGAAGCAGAGTTATTTTAGTAGCCTATCACTGATATACTATTATAGTTTTTGTTAATATATTGAATTAGATTTGATCTTTTTTATTTTAGTTTAATTTAGTTGTTTTTGTCATTTTTATTCAGTTTTTTTAATATAGGAATAATTTTCATTAAGTTTTAGCTTCAATTTAAGATGCGAAATGTTGCCTCCACAACTAGCTAAAATAAAATAGGTTTAAACTTTTTTTTAAAAATATTTTAAGTTAATTTTATTTTATTTTATTAATTAAAATGTTTTTGTGGTTTTAGTTTTAGTTTAGAGTTATTTTAGTACTTTAGCTTAATCTAAACAAAATGAGAAATGTTGAGTTAAAATAGCTTAAATAAATCATACATTTAATATAAATTAAAACATTTTAATGTAAAAATTAATACATTCAATTTATAAATTAAACGTAAATTGAATTCAGTAGCTGAAATAAATGTCTAATTCAACTAGCTGGATTTTTCATGTTTTATTACAGTTAATGTTTATTTTATTTCAAGTCAGAAAAATGTTTTTGTGGTTTATTTATTTAATTTGAGTTATTTTAGTACTTCAATTTTAAATGAAAATGAGACTTGGCAGCTAGCTGAAATAAAATTATTATTATTATATTTTTTTATATATATGTGAGTTATGTTTATTAGCTTATTTAATTTTAGTTATTTTAGTACTTAAATTGAACAAAAATGCCTTGGCAACTAGCTGAAATAAAATAAGTTTATATATATATATATATATATATGTTTTAGTCTTTGCAACTTTACAGATCTTCTTTATGCACCAAGAGCTCGTAACACTTCAAAGAGAAAGGAAAACTTGAAATCGCATCATATGACCCCTTTAATGTTTATTAGCTTATTAAATTTGAGTTATTTTAGTATTTACACTGAAAACAATGAGAAATATTGCCTTGCCAACTAGCTGAAATAAAACAAAATTAAATATATATTTTTTATTAGTTAAGGACAGTTTGTTTTTTTTCTAAGTAATCCATTGTTTTTTTTTTATTGTTTTTTTATAGTTTTAATTTTAGTTTGAAGCAATGTTGATTCTAATCCCTGTGGTTTTGCTCAGATCGGGAAGAGTGGGAACATTCCAGCAGGAACTACGGTGGACACCAGCATCACGCATCCGTTCGAGTTTGATTTCTACTTGTGCAGTCATGCAGGTATTCAGGTGAGCACACTGACGTGCTGCAAGCATTCATTCATGATTGTGTGCCTGTGGTTTGACGTTCTGTGGTCCTCGTCTCAGGGCACCAGCCGACCCTCACACTACTATGTCCTGTGGGACGACAATCGCTTTACAGCTGACGAGCTGCAGATTCTCACCTACCAGCTGTGCCACACATATGTGCGCTGCACCCGCTCCGTCTCCATCCCAGCGCCTGCGTACTACGCCAGACTCGTGGCTTTCCGTGCCCGATACCATCTGGTGGATAAGGAGCATGACAGGTGAGGCCAAGATCATGAACATCTGTAGCTTTGATGTTATTAAACTGCATTAGCTATTAACATTAATTAATGTTAATTAAACTTAATACAGTAGCTCTGGTCCAAAACCTAGTGAGCAGCCTTGCTGCCTACATAGTAAAAGTTCCTGTCCTCTGACCTGCTTCTCCATATCTGCTAGATCAGGAGTTCCCAACATTTGTTTTTTGTCAGCCAAACCCCTTAGACATAAAATGTTTACTTGATGTATCCTCTAAAATTTTAGGTTAATATTTCAATAATTTAACGACACTTTTGCATGTTCATGCTTTTCTGATTTTAGTTAACGGTCACAGAACATGAACGTGAACATAAGTTATAAAAAAAATGATTAGTAGTATTTTTTTATTTTAAATGATTTATACTGTATATATATATATATATTAGTGCAGCTTCACACACACACACACACACACACACACACACATATATATATATATATATATATATATATATATATATATATATATATATATATGGCTTATTATATATTATTTGTTATTTTTGTTTTAACTACAATTAATACATACATACTTGCAATACATGTATATATGTATGTGTGCGTGTGTATGTATGTATTGTAAATTAATTGTCCTGTAAAATAAATAATGAATATTGAATTATTATAGGACTAATAAATATTACATGCACTGCAATTTGCAATACTAATATTACAATACTTATATATTGATACTTTTTTCCAGAAACTCTCATTATTGAAGAAATAATAATTGTTTATAATCAACATTTCTTTCACTTTACATGTCATTTTCATTTGAGCTTTTCGCAGTGCATTGCCTTTTCAGAAAGGAATACATCCATTGCTTATAGTTTATTGAGATTTTTTTTTTTTTAAATAGCCCTTGTATCTAGAACTCACTTACAAAACCTAGACAAGGCAAGAGTACATGCTTAAAAATGTATTCATATAGAATATTTCATAAACAATGGTAATTCAACGTGCTTTACATGAAAGGGATTTTAAAAAAAACATAAAAGATGCATGAGAATTTAAAAAACAATGATAAGCAAGAAATAAATATTAAAAATATATTTAAAATGTGCTAAAAACAAATAAGAAGAAAAGAGAAGAATCCATAAATAAGATGAAATGATGCAATCAGTAGGACGCCTACAAATGCTGTTTAGGTTTAAGAACAGAGCTTTTGTCTCATTGCCAGAAACAATATCAATCTTTTCTGCTTGGTATTTATTTGATCAAAAATACAGTAAAATTGTGAAATATTATTACAATTTCAAATAATTGTTTTCTATGTGAACATATTGTAAAATGTAATTTATTTCTGTGATCAAAGCTGTATTTTCAGCATCATTACTCCAGTCTTCAGTGTCACATGATCTTCAGAAATCATTCTAATATGCTGATTTGCTGCTCAAGAAACATTTCTGATTATTATCAATGTTGAAAACAGTTGTGCTGCTTCATATTTTTGAAAATATGATACGTATTTGATTTTTTTTTTAGGATTCTTTAATGAATAGAACGTTCAAAAGAACAGCATTTATATTTGAAATATTTAAAACTTTTGTAACATTATAAGTGACTAAGCTGCCACTTTTGATGCTCTAATAGGGTGACCATACGTGCCATTTTCCCAGGACGCGTCCTGGCCTAAAATGTAATTTATTTCTGTGATCAAAGCTGTATTTTCAGCATCATTACTCCAGTCTTCAGTGTCACATGATCTTCAGAAATCATTCTAATATGCTGATTTGCTGCTCAAGAAACATTTCTGATTATTATCAATGTTGAAAACAGTTGTGCTGCTTCATATTTTTGAAAATATGATACGTATTTGATTTTTTTTTTAGGATTCTTTAATGAATAGAACGTTCAAAAGAACAGCATTTATATTTGAAATATTTAAAACTTTTGTAACATTATAAGTGACTAAGCTGCCACTTTTGATGCTCTAATAGGGTGACCATACGTGCCATTTTCCCAGGACGCGTCCTGGCCAGGATTTCTATATTGCCTAAAATATCTAGGTTTTGGCTTTGTGTGTGCGGACCGATCGGTGTATGACATCAAAATACCTCGAGAGCATTTTGAAAGCATAAGGAACCGTCTGTATGGTACTTTGATGTCACCCACCGATCGGTCGCCACACGCAAACAAAGCCAAAACCTAGATATTTTAGGCAATATAGAAATCCTGGCCAGCACGCGTCCTGGGAAAATGGCACGTATGGTCACCCTAGCTCTAATGCATGTAATATCAGTTTTAAAGTCCTCTTTTATCTGGTCTCTGTGTTTGTAGCGGGGAGGGCAGTCACGTCTCTGGACAGAGTAACGGTCGGGATCCTCAGGCTCTGGCCAAAGCCGTGCAGATTCACCAATATATATATATATATTATATAATTTAGATAAATATTTTATATATAATAACAATGTTTTATATATATATATATTCCGTTTAAAAACTTTTTTTTTTGCATTTTTTTTAATTTTTGGGTGAACTTTTCCTTTAAACCTTTTCTTCCACTTGCTTCTGTAAACAAAGCAATACAAGGTCACTGAGGCAAGTCATAAGGAAAACCGCAAGTCATGTTTAAGATGATAGAAGAGAATGAGATGTGTTTGTCTCTACCGGGAGCTCGAACAATGCAGGAAGTTGTTTGTATATAGTGAGCTTGTCCTCTCTCCCACACAGGCTCATGAAGGCCATTGGGTCGTATCACCACACGCTCCCACCCGTCATAGCCGTTCTGCATTCTTTTCAAGCGTGCCGTTGGTAACACTGCCACATTCCCTTCCCAACAAGCACATTAACACATGCCAGTATCATTGGCCTGACACCAGTCGGTGCAGTGAGCATGTGGGCATGCCGGAAAACGCCTTTTCCGCAGGTTAAGGGAGCATTATGTCACGTAATCATGTCATACGGTGGATATATGAAATGCATGTTTAAACTGAGTTCGTGTTGTAACTGGAGCCTTTTAGTAATCATATTAAGACTCGGCCCGTATAACATTTGATGTCATACTTTCTCACCCGTTTCAACACCATAATTCACATTATCAGTATTCATTCTTGCACTGAACTGAATGCTACAGAATATGGAAAAATGGTTTTACAATTGATTTTACAAAGATGAATGAGGCCTAATAGCCTAAGTAAAACCACTCTTAACATCTATTCTGGTTTATTAAATGGGTTAAGATTATAATTCATATTATCAGCTTTTTATTCAAGAAAATTCATAGTAAAAATGTACAAACAGATGGAAAAGAAATGATAGAGAGATCCTTTAACGTTTGTATAACCCGGGGAAAAAAGTTTTTTTTTAAACATTTCAAAAACTGAGCAGTTTCAATGTTCAGAAAACATTTAGAAGTAACGTTTTTATGACTTAATGGGAACATTAGCAAAACATAAACTTGTTAGCAGATAGATAGATAGATAGATAGACAGATAGATAGAACGCTAGATAGACAGATAGATAGATAGAACGCTAGATAGACAGATAGATAGATAGAACGCTAGATAGACAGATAGATAGATAGAACGCTAGATAGACAGATAGATAGATAGAACGCTAGATAGACAGATAGATAGATAGAACGCTAGATAGACAGATAGATAGATAGAACGCTAGATAGACAGATAGATAGA